ACACTGAAAACGGCAAGTTAACGACTTGTTTACTGGGCGTTTTTCTGCCGTTTCCATAACGTTAACGCGCCGTTTTTTGTGTTGACCGTTTACTGGAGATTAACTGGCCGTTAACGGGCCGTTTTTTGGACCTGGGCATGTTTTGTTCCTTTCTTCTGACGTTTGCTCCTCACGTGTACATTACTGACTTAGGTGAATCTTTCAGCCATATCAGACATTATATACGATAAAAAGTGTTTATGCTTTATTCTATCGTATTGAGCGGTCGTACATCTTCGAATAAAAAGCAAGCCGTTCTAACGTCAAAAGTAGCTACAGATATATGCACAACGTTTTCTGTCAGAATCGGGCTTATTTTCAAAAGTCATCCAGATCGAGAGGGGGAGGGTCAGTTAAAACTGGACGGAAGTGAGGAAGTTAGAAACACCACTGCATGTACTTTATGATCACTTTTATCATTCAGGTCTATTCAAAGTTCTTGAAAATCTTCGTCCACTTAGATGTTGGAGAGTATATGTTGATCTAAAAATGAATCTAACACATGTGGCTAACGGTTGATAGAGCCTGATTTTTGAATTTCACTCCGATTATGGAAAGAGAGATTTCAAGAAAAATTCCCTAAGATTTTCGAGATTTGCGACTGCCTATCGTCTATCCAAAATCAACAATAATCCCGACGTTAATTTATGTGGTACGACTCTTCCTCTGTACCCTAACTTCAATGGAATGTAGTTAGATGTTGTTGACTGATCGGGTCATGAATTGCTACTGAATCAGAGGCAGCTAGAATACAATTCATCTCAGCATAAAGTTAAATAAATGTACGTTTTAATCTGTCTAGCAGGCAGTGAAGCTGTGTCAACAGTTAGATTTTCTCGCTTTCCTAGTATTACTTTTGTAACTCTACATGTGACTGTTAGCACTTGACAAAACTAGCTTTTGTCAACTTTATTAAAATCGTTTTGTTAATAACAACGAGTCTTCAGGTAAGACTGAGGATACTCAACTTCTACTGTCTATTTGTTACTTTCTTTTACCCGTTTTACCCAAAGTGATGTTAACATATAAAATCAAATTTGCAACTTTATTGATTTTATCCAGGATCATTATTAAACTGAATGGTGAATATTTTAGGTGAGCATTGATTATTCATGCTTGAGTATTGTTTTGAGAACAAAATGAAACAACATAATGTCATAGCTACTTTATTCATTTGAACAAAGAATCATTTCAACCTTGATTTTTTTTCTATGATTCAAAAATAATGCATGTGGTATGTCGATGTGGGAAGCAATTAGAGGAGGAGAAAAAGAAAGAATTGGTAAGAAAAAGGTAAAACATATTTTCTTAAAGTGGAATTTTGAAACTGAAAATCGTATATAATATATTTGTTTCATTGCTTGCTTCTATTGACATTGTAATTCTTTAGTACTTTGACAAAATATATTCATCATAGATTCATTTTAATTTTGTACGATAACATAGCGTATATTTTCATTAAATTTTTTGCGAACAGTTATTTAGTTGATTAATTCAATATACGTAAATTAGTCACGTAAGTAGTTATAAAATTTTAACCCAATTATACACTATATTTAGGGTAGAGATTTGAGACAGTGGAAAACTTATGACAAGTAAATATAGGATGTTCAGGGGATCCCTCTCAGGAAAAACTTTTTTATCTTATTTTTGATGGCGCTTTCAGTGACTAATGCTTACTGTCCTACGAGCTTATGCTAAGAATTTGAAATTGAAATGTTGAAGAGCTGCCGAGTTATTGCGTGGAAATTCTGAAAACTGCGAATAGTCTCAAATGAAAGTAGACACCTAAATCTACAATTTAGTTCGCCCTGATTTTTGAATTTCGCTTCTGCTTATTTCCCACACGTATTTAACCCTAGTACTACCAAGCCTATTTTAGGCATGGCATGATGATATATTTTATTATGTGATTTTTTCGTCATGAAACCGATATGTTTGTCCAAGTTACACTATTTTCTGTTCGATTAGAGCATAAAATGATTGAGAAGAGTGTTATGTATTTATTTCGAACAAGTGATACAAAAGAGTCATTTCACACAATGCTCATTACAAACGGGTTCGGAACATTTGTAACACTTGTTCAGAGTCTTTTTGTCTTTGGTACGGTCACAAAGTAAACATCGTTTTCTTTTTAAGTTCGTGAAGGTTTCATTTAATTCTTGTGATGTTTTCTCCACCTTAGAATAACCCATAACAGCTAATGCACTTTGAACATCTTTGTGCAAGAACTTCAAAGTTTGTGAACGAATATCAAGAAGACGAGCCGCTAAACTTATTCCTAATTCTTCAAGAAATAAGCGACGCTTGTATTTTTTATTCTTGTTCCAATCTGGATTCTTTTCCTTCCATATGATCAGAGCATTTAGAGCAGCAATGTCTAACATATTATAAAAGACACAGAGAGGCCATCGTTTTGTGCCTCTTCTTGTGGAATATTTATGGCACATCTGATCAACAGTATCAAAAGCACCTTTGGTTTTATTATAATCCAAGATAATGTGTGGCTTTCCATTTGTTGAGTCTACTTTGTGGTCATGATGTTTCGATGAGAGCAACAAAACAGCTTTATTTATCTTTGGAACATATGAAACTAGTGTGAGATTGTCGTTGAAACCGAACATTGCAGAGCCAACTGGATGATTTTTATTTGAGAGAAATTCTACGGGTATTTCGGGCTTATTTCTGCGTAATGTTCCTATCAAGATAATATTGTGAACTCCCAATCGTTTTGCTAGTGGAATACTAGCAAAGAAATTGCCCATTGTAACGTTCCTACCAGAATCAAACAGTGGTTCCATCAGTTGTAAAACTATGTTGACACCTATATTCTTTTGTCTATCTTGACCAGGTTGTCGTCCAGTATAAGGGACTGCATCAAATACATAGTAAGAATCAGCATCAACGCATAATCAAAGCTTTGTTCCATATTTATCAGGTTTTTTGGGGATAAATTGACGAAAAGGACATTTTCCGCGAAATCCAACGAACTGTTCATCAATTGTCACAAAAGATCCCACTGAATAACATTTGTACAAATTATTTTGGAAGTCCGATCATATTTCACGAATTGCAGCAAATTTATCTGTATTTTTCCTTTCCTCCCTTGTTGTCTTGTCATCGAATCTAAGACAAAGATATTGTTTCAAATCGATTTCGCGACATTGTTGCTCTAAATACTGGAGACTCCATTGAACTTCTAGTCCATAAAGACTTAATACTTTTTCTTGATTTTCTGAGTAAACCAGATATTAGTAAAAGACCAATAAAATCCTTTAATTCAACAATTGATATTTCTTCAAAACTGTCATCGAGAGTTCTGTTTGAGTTTCCTGCAGTATTCGAATAACGTAAAATTTTCTTTAACATTTCTTCCGATATAAAGCAGAGAAATGCATCTTCAACAGAAGCCACATGTGAGGTCAATTCAGTTGATCCAGGTGTTAACTTTACATTACCATGATGTTTTGTTGGCGATGAATAAGATGGAGTGGAAGACCACACCATATCAGATCTTGAACTGTATGAACAGCCTTGCGTGTCATTTTCATATGGATCACTTTCTTCTAAATTAGGTTTTTCTAAATCGATCTCTTCTTCATCTTCTGCTGTTTCACTATCAATATTTTCAGTTTCTGAACCACTGTCTTCAGCATGAGCATTGTCACTATCATCGCTTTCATAATCAAGCCAATTATCATCCATTACACTATGTTTGTTAATCAGAGCTGTTTTATTCAATTTGAAGAAAAAATAAAGTTTCAATCTAAAATGGAACATAAACGAAAGTTTTCGGCATACGGATATCAGTTGGAGAAGTATAAAATCAAATATCAATAAGAGGCTCATCTTTTATTTTCATATCAGCTACGAGCAGTTGATACTATTACATCCTATTCAAGCAAAAAACAATTACAGAAAGATAAACAATCTTGATTCCACATTCCAAAATCCGATGAATCACGCATTGTGATAGTTGGACAGCCTGAGTCCATAAAAAAACATATTTCAATTGGATTTCAGTTATATCCAATTGTATAAGGGTGATTCCATGGGGTTTCTACCACAGTTACATGAAGTATCTTCTTTCAAGACGAATATCTCAGGGTTTGGATAGTTCAATGAGGCGATCATTTCGGCCGATTTTGTTTTCTTTAAGGTTTAAGGGACCTTGGATAAGGTTAAGATCTGAGCGTGAACAGCATCCTTTATTATGACTTATGTTGAGATCTCGATCTTTTTCGTGTTCTAAACATCGATTCAAAAGTCGTCCTCTAGAAATGATAGATGCTAGGGGTTTCAAAGAAAACAAAATCGGCCGAAATGATCGCCTCATTGAACTATCCAAACCCTGAGATATTCGTCTTGAAAGGAGATACTCTTGCACAACATGGTAGAAACCCCATGGAATCACTCATAAGTAATAACTGATTGAAATACAGAATAGCAATCTAACTGGTTTCATATTTTCGTTAGCTAGTTATACTCTTCGTAATCTATCAAGAACCAGAAAAATACCACAATATTTTTATTAAATTTCAGCTTTCTACAGTGGGGTCATTCTGCTAGGGTTAAAATCAGAGCTCTGAAAATAACCCTAATCCGGTGTAGCATTTGCCACTTATCTCGGCATAGAAACAAAAATCAAAAATTGCCGCCAATGAATCTTTAAATAAATGTCTTAGCTTTAAAATAAGAAAAAAATGAAGGTTTTACGATGAATCGTCGAGAAGTTGATACAATGTTACACCGCTAAAACCATGTTCTGAGAAAAACGGCATCACTTTTGAGTAATTATAGTTCGGCGCCTTTAGCAAAACTAGTATAGCTCTGCAAGACAAAGTCGTACAAACCTGCCGGATATCTCATTCTGCTCAGAACACTCTGCTCAACATAACTCCATGTCTGTTAAAACGGACAACCTTACAAACTTTAATTAAAACTTGAAATTTAAAAAAAGGTAATTTTTAGGGCTTTCAGAAATGTCTTTCAAAATCCTCCAAAAACATTGAATTTTCGGCAAACTGAGATGGATTTGGAATACTGAACCGTATGGTTACTTCAGTTTCGAAGGTTTCGAAGTAAACATCGAATTCCTGAGGGGGGGGGCCCTTAATAATCTCTGAATGATTAAAGGAAATATGTTTTGAGCAGTAATTACACGATACATATGTACAAGTAACGCTCATCTTCGATTCACTAACCCTTGACCGAAAGATCCTGATACCAACGAACCAGACATGTAGGGTGCGCGAAATTCACAACTTACAGAAAATGATTTCTGTTTTCTTCGGTATGATTGAATAAAGCTAATCGAGTTATCTACTTAAAGCTGATTTGATATGTCTGGGAGTTATTTTCGTGCGAAAAACTGTTGATGTTTTGAAAATAGTTCAACGTGAAGGAAATATTCGTATTACTACTTCCAAAAGTTCATAACTAGTTTTCTCTGCTCCCCTCGGGAAGTTTAAAAAGCTGGCTGGCATCTAAGAAACAAACACGCCCTCAAAATGTGTCCTAGGACACTATTTGCTGTATGTTATATATATCAAATTGTAGCGCGACAAATTCTCTATCGAATGGTATATTTATTGTAGTGAAATGTTGACATAGAATATCTGAGACTTTTTGCACGTAGGGGGATCATTTTCTATAGCCAAAAGTATTTCTAAACATATTTAGCCTCAGAACGACTACTTCCGTATATGTGATATGCAGGAAGATAGCGAACAAAAAGAACTTTTGAATGGTATATAATAGTCGTGAGGAATTGTGAAACTGCGAGAGAAAGATCCAAATCTACGATCTATAATATATATCCGATGCAGTAGAAACTTAATCAAATTTGATTCAACCAATTTTTTTCTGAGAGTGCCCAGGTCCAAAAAAACGGCCCGTTAACGGCCAGTTAATCTCCAGTAAACGGTCAACACAAAAAACGGCGCGTTAACGTTATGGAAACGGCAGAAAAACGCCCAGTAAACAAGTCGTTAACTTGC